GGGGAAGCATATGGACCTCGTCAGGCGAGTGCAGTTCTGTGCACCGTTCGTTTTGAGGAAGCGGCGACATCTGGTCGTCACTGGGTAGAAATAATGACGCTGCATCGCTACTTTGTGGTCTGCAGATTCTTCTCCTCCTTCTACGAGTTCTCGGACTTCTCGACACATGGCAGCATCTCTGTCCATTGCGACTTGTAACTCCTCCTTCATCTTTCTGTCGGTTTCGCTCCCGGTGATCCGCTTGCTGGGCGCACCTCGGCCTCGTTTCGAGCCTTCGGGTACGTGTCTCTGTCGATAACCTTGAGTAAGTGTCTTCATGTTCAACATGCGAGACGTATCTGGCCCCAGTCGACTTCGCATCCGGTTCCAGTCGCACTCTTCTGTGAAGACCATGTTCTGATCGTGATCGAGAGGAATCACTTCTGATAGGGCTTTCTGCGTGGCTATTCGTGGAACATAGATGAAGGTCTTGCTTACTTTTGGGAGAATCGTTGTCTCACATATCAGTAGCCCTGCTGCAACTAGTTCGTCTACTTTCTCTTGTGCATCTGATCGGTTGAAGGAGAAAACGACCTTTGTCTTCGTACTCCGGAGCTGAGCCACTGTAAACCAGTCTTTGCTTTCATCTATAAGCCAGTCCATGATCACCTGCATAGACTTCATCTGCCACTTCCTCTGCGCTCGGGCCGCTGCTGCTATCGGATCGTCATCGCCTGGATGCGGAAGTTTCAAAGCTTCATCAATCGCATCTGCTGCAGGGCCTTCCCGGACAGAAAGACCACAACTGGATCGTACAGCTGCAGCTGTTAGACCACGGTCGCCTCCATGAACCACATAGTTCTCAAGGACTGCACGACACTCAGCGGCAGTGCGCCCACGCGCATAGTTCCAGATACACCGCAGAGTCACCAAGCACGCAGGTTTGTCTCGGAGGAAATCCTTCAATGTGGGATCCCTCGGAAAAATGCCACTGGCGGCAGCCTGGACTTCACGACCCTTGATCCTGGCTTCATCTACGAAGGTAGCCTTGTAACGACATACCGCTGTACGGCGCATGATGGAGTTGATGTTCTCCTCTGTAACTCCAGCGAACCTTAATTATCGACACGCGCACACCCTGAATGCAGACACTACACTAAAAAATAAACATCAAGACGAGACGCTTGGGGTAAGCGTTCAGCTCAAAGCGCTTCCAACCACGAAGCTCCACCAAGCCAGTCCGAATGGCATAGGGCAAGCGTTCAGGCACTTTGTCAGCCGAAATGTGTTTCTTGTAGATGTCTTCTCGCATCGGTCGTCTCGATCCTTGGACACTCTCCTGGCCGGTGACGACAATCTTGCCGACCAGGTTGGCGGCCTGCTTGCGCATCTCCTGACAGACGCACACAGGAAACAGGTAGTAATATTAGCCACTATGCGGAGAGTTTGATTCTACGCCGCAGTATCAGTAGAGTCTACTCTCGTGCCTCGTCTATGAAATAGATATTCATATCCAGGCACGAGTGATAGTTGCCGAGAATGGCTTCCAAATGAGCAGTCTGTAAGCTCTGCCCCACGCCGCCTGATCCCACGCCCCAGAATGCGCGGTCCACATTTTCACCACGAAAAGCCAATGTGAGAGAAGCCATACAGACGTCAAACGCAGGTGCGTTCCCCCAGTAAGTGGTTTTCCAGAACATGTCGAGTCGGTTCTTCACATCATCCGCTACCGGGTCCAGCATGCGATGTGGCAGGTGCACGTACACATTCCTTTGAGGAGACTTTGGAACAGCCTTCAAGCCGCCACGTGGGTCGAAAACGAAGCAGCCATCCATGGTGCAGAAGCCACCCTGTTGACATACATCTATCGAACACCACTCGATGTAATACTTGATGACACTGTCGTTCAGCAGAGATGTCTGCCTTGGTTGTGCAGTTCTTGCAACAGCCTCTGAAAGTAACAGACATTCATATCTGTTATAAGCAGACAAGACACAATTTCACGTACAGTTTACCAATGGTGTTCGCCATGACGGCAGTCCAATGCATGCCAACTGCAGCTTGCGCGGGAGTATCATCTTCGCCGTGGCCCTGCTGCTTGGTTTTTGTTGGAGGGACACGACAGATGGCAGCTTTCTCGCAGGCTTCAAGGAGCTGTTCCGATCGCCCTCCGTATTGTCGCAATAATTCCTGTGCCGCAACCAGGATGCCTTCGTTCTCTCGAAGAACATTGTTGTCGAACATGGAGTACAGCCCTTCCAACTGCATGAGAAAAGTTTTGCAGCGTGCCAGTGTTCCTTGAGGAACAACACCATTATAAGCTGACCAGTGCCCATACTCCGAGTAGAAGAAGCACTGACTGTCGTGTGCTCTCACATGAAGTCCTCTTCCTTCGATTAGCTCCAGAAACAAAACCTCTTCGCGTCTGCTCAGATCCAATAGCCGCAGACGATGTACGGCCAGCGCCCCTTCCATGATGTGACGGAATGGCTCAGACCATGTTTCGACATTTGCAAATTCATTGATCACATCGCGGATTTCTTGTAACTGTTCCAGGATATTACCCCCTTCAACCCCAGCTGAGAGCTCCTGTGGGATTAATGCTGGGTTGAAGTCAGTGCTCATGAACTGGCTCAGGGTAACTTCTGATGTGTCCGCTTCGCCTGCGATCAGGGTCACACTCATATCTATGAAGTCTTTGGATCCGGCGGCTTTCAGTCGCTTCGGCATCGGTTCTTCTGCCTCGAGTGTTTCCTCCTGCTTCGGCATCGGTCCTTCCATCTCGAGTGTCTCCTCCAGCTGCCGTTCAAGCATTTGTGAGAAAGAATCTCCATCTTCTTGGCTTCCGGCACGTAGATCAGACGTCACGGTCATGTCTGAACTCCTCTGACTTCCTGTCAGACATATGCGCGACTGCAGATCGTTTCGTCGCCATATCATGAACTCAGTCATACAGTCCGACAGAAGAGGAACGGGAACGACCAAAGCCGAGAAGCCATTGTCGGGGTGGAGACACACGATTCGTAAGTCCGTCACAACAACATTGTAGTAGGTTCGAAGGATCCATGCGTAAATGTTGAGCTGAATTCTGTAATGCCAAAGCACTGCATCAGGGATGTCTTGAAGAGGATATTGTAGAAAGCGACCGAAACTATCATCCTTCGACGCCAACTGCTTGGTCCTCTTCCAATCCAGCAGACAAATGTCTGTGCCCCGCTGCGCGACCGCATCGATGGATCCAGCGAGATCTTCCTTGTCTGCGTAGACAGTCCATTCTGTCCTTGTAAAAATCCACCCCTCTGCGTGGAAGTCTCGCAGAAACTTGAGGAACATGCAGACCTCCGGTGAATCTGATGGCACTTGTCCACCATTCAGCAGACACTCGCACTTCGCGTGCATCCAGGTGCCTGCAGCAGCGGCAATTCGCCGATTGCATTCCCATTTCTGCAGTATCTCAGTATCAGTCAGAGTTAGCTCTGTTGCCAAGTACTTGTAGCCCGGATGAGTCCAGATCAGGTCGCGAAGTCGCCGGCAGACGGCCTCGACATCCACCTGAGGAGCGTCCAAGAGCCCATCAAATTCCGACTCAATAAACACATCCGTTCGTAGAACTTGTCGCAGTCGTTGAATCATGTCCGGGACGACATACTCGGGACCAGGCCAGTTTCTGCCGTTCCGCATTGCACGCAGAGCCTCTGGTGCATGGAAGCGTGCAGTCAGGCTGTGAATGAGCCCAGTCACAGACAGAGATACCTTCTGGCCTTTCCACGTGTAGGAATGATCCATGTGTCGAAATTGCAGATCAGAGTCCCGTGGATGTGGATGCACGAGTGCGAGAACGTCCAGAATCGCTATACCAGATAGCTTGTCAACATCGAATGTCCCTGGAACTGCCACACAAACGGAATGTGGCCAGCGCCCTGTTCGCAGGCAATCCGGCAGACAAGTCTGCAACCCGAAATCGAACAAACTGCTCTGTCCTGGAGTGCTTTGCAAGCTAGTGTTCACTGTAAAGAAGACAGTGTCCTCCAAGCTGTCAATAGCTCGGTTCAGCCGCTGGATCGCGGTGTCCTCCATCTGCTGATGAAGATGTTCCGTTGCGCAGGTGCTGTCCGCACACGCATTGCACACATGCTCTTCCACATCTTCTATGCGGTCGCATAGACGACGGAAGGCTGGTGTATCTCCTGAGAAACGTAAATAATTTCGTCGAAGAGCCGCCAGGCGACGTCTTTCTATGAACATTCTCATGGTTGTTGCGTCCATCGCGGAGGACCCTGCCAGACGGTCTTCTAGAAATGACTCTGGCACACACGAGAGACATACGTCGTCGCCATTAAGGCCATGCACGGGACAGAACCAGTGGTGACATATCTGACAGCATGATATGCTCTCACGGAGACAATATGCACATGGTGGCTGACCACTGGAGGCACTATACTGGAAAGGCAGCGCGTGCACTTGGAAATCCGTGGTCGTGCAGTCAGGATGAGCCACACACATAGCGGCCGCACGGGCCCATGGCTCCAGATCCTGTCGCGGCGTAAGTGGCACTGTAGCTGCAAGTTGGTTGTCAAACAGAAATTCCAGGCAACCTCTTTGCCAACGTAACTGGTATGTGTGTGTATGGGTCTGAGTCAAGGACACGCATCTGGGAGTCGGGACCACCATTCGCCCGCCGTCAGAGAATCGAAATCGTATGGTCCTTGTGGCTTCGATTGGCCTGTGTATAATCAAGCAGGTACTGTTGTCTGGATTGCTCTCGTATTCTGCGCGTCTAAGAGCAAGAAGCAGGAACGATGCACCCGTCGGAAGCGAGCATTCCAAGGTCACCGCTCCGCAGGTCTGTCTTTGAGATCGCCAGTAAACGATCTTGGCGGGACCAAGGATGTCCCCACTGATGTTCGGCAGATACTCGCCTGACCCATGAAGCATTAGCTTCTTGTCCAGTACGGATAGGTAGTGTAGAAAGTAGTGTGGGCAAGAAACACTGCGAATGCCCCCAGCCCAAGCTCTGAGCAGATTCTCAAAAAGGCGAGTTCGTCGAAAGGCGACACTCAGGTGCTGTGTCAAATGGAGGTCCACTTCGTGCCAAAACTGGCTGTGTTGCATGGACTGCCAGAGAGTAGAATTGCACGACCCAAGTGCCATAAAGTCTCTCAGGCTTTCCAGAAAAGAGCATTGCAGAAGCATCAAGGAACTGACGTCCAGACCTCCAGCATGCAAATCATCTTGGCGAGCAGGCGGTCCTCTCTGCTCAGCGAGGTGCTCGTACACCCAGGACGTGCCTAGTTCAGTGGGCAGAACGCAACTCCGGCACTGATTTGTAGACAACCCTCCATATCCCGAGCGGAAAACGTAGACAGCAATCTGAGCCTTGTGCGGGATTTGGTTGGGCTCTAATGGTAGACTGCCGAGATAGTAGCCGTCCATGCAGACTTGTAGGGTATCCTGCCACCATTGGACTTGGAAACGTCGCGTGCCCTGCATAGGACTTCGTGGCATGTCGTAAATGCGTGTCCGTGCTGCTTCACGACTGCGTGAGTGGCTCATGCTGGACATAATTGATGCGCCTTGCAGGTTGTTTAGTTCGCACCAACATCTTTCGCTGTTCGTAGCCGTACCCACTGTGAACAGGCATCTCTCCGACAGATCCTCCGCATCGAGGTCAAACAAGAGCGGGGCCAACACAGTGCCCTTGCTGCGCCACAACACCATCGTTGTTTCCGCGATAAGCATGGTGCGGTGGGTCAGTGGCCACTGCAAGGACATGAACCGAGAGGCACGAAGTGCAAGAGCCAAGTGCGAGCCTCCGTGAAACCAATCTCCTTCGATGGCCCGACTGCAGATGACTCCGGGATTTCTTTCACTCCATGTCATAGGATCAAGAATCATGGCCTGTGTCATCAAGCACGTCTGTTGGACGTGGGCCAGGGATGTGACATCGCCGACCATGGTAATGATCTCCGAAGCGACGTGGTTTGGCATATCCTGCAAACATCCTCCTCGCATATCGCCGTGTGCACGGTCATCAGCCGCTGTGTCCTGTGGCAGCGATTGTAGCCAGTATCTTATTTTCCACTAGCTCACTACTGCAAGTGCCTAGTCACTTGGGCAATGCGATACTGTTCGTCAGATCGGCTATCTGATACAATCTCAGACAGGAGTCCTGAATCACGAAAAAGCCTTCGCACATCTGAGGATTTACTCGCCAACAACCCTGCTCGTCGGAGTACGAGACGGGGATGGGAAGGTCATCCGCGGAGACAGGGTACCAAGTGTGGGTCCTGTTGGTGGGATTGAGTTCCAGGCACCCGTCTTGTTTCCGTAGGGCCATGAAATGTGCGTTGGCCGTTAGGATGAAGCTGCCGCTGTGCGAGCGGATCACATGTCGCCAGTCGGTGCGACGAATGGCTTTCCTGAGATCATGACATTGTACGGACGGTGACCCGATACGAAAAGTCTTGTTACCTTGCTAGTCCTCTGAATGCAAACATGCTACTGGAACGGCTTCAAGAGATCGTTGCCATCCCGCATCGCCCACAGCGGTCCATCGGACTCGTAGGCGCACTTATAGCCGTGCCCTCGCAGAGCATCCACCAAGCAAACATCGTTGTATCTGTCTCGCGGACCTCAGCAGTACGAAACACTTCTGACATGTCAAGTAAACCATATAACGATTGTATCACCGGGGCACCGGGTGGGCAGTCGCGTGTGTGAGACTTCTTGCGGAGAGCCATGCCTGACTACGACAGCTTCTCTACGCAGATCCTGCTTGTACATGCGAATATACAAGAGGCCTGATCGTTGGTGCGTGCGCTTGCACCGACGTGTCCATACATGGCGGGGGATGGATCTCCAGCAGAGCTCGGCCTGTGGCGACTTTCGCAGATTATTGTTACAGCATACATTGAGACTACCACTGGCTTCCTTCACTCGCGACCTTGGCCACAGGCAACATAGAAGTGCTGGGCCACGGGGCGAGAATCCTTGTCGAGTGCATTGTGTTGTGACACAGGAGGAAAGTCCATGACTTCGAAGCTGAACCCATCCCTGTGCATATGTGGAAGCTCGTGTCTT